TTAGCTGCAACACACTGTTGTAGTCGTTCTCAGAGGAGGGAGTAACCGTAACAGTGAATTCCGATCGCTATGCTGCAATGTTGCAAAATTTCTTGCAGCCCATGATGGAAAACATTGTTGCAAATGCAGCATTGGGAGACATGTGGTTCTAGCAGGATGGGGCTACAGCTCACACAGCCTGAATGTCACTCAATGTTTTGAAACGCATGTTCCCAGACTCTGAGGGGTGATTTACAGTGGCCTGCGAGGTCACCTGATTTGAGCATTTGTGATTTCTTTCTTTGGGGACATCTAAAAGAAATGGGTTCAGAAGTCACCCTCACACCCTACCACAGCTAAGGGGACTGATTATTGCAGCAGAGGTTATGGCCATACCTCGCCAAATGTGTGAACGTGCTGTAGAAAATTTCTGAGAATGACTCCAACAGTGTGATGCAGCTAACAAACCCCATCTTCCTGATATTGTTTTCAAAACATAAGTATTTCAAATGGTATGTTATGCTAATCTTGAGGAAAATAAACTTTCTTGTTTATGTACCACCATTACTCTTTTATTTTGCCTCAAAACTGTTCACTTGGTTCTACCCCACCCTGTATAAGCTAGCTAACACATTTGAATTGTATATTGTAATCAATATATAACAAATAGTCAAATAGTTAAAGACTACTTATAGCCTTATAGGAATTAGCTAAGCTGCTGGCAATGCACAATGTATTGCAACACTTGCCTCTGTACTAGAAATATTAAGTTTATTGGAACCTAATACACACTAAAGGCAACAAGTTTATATACCAATTTGTCATTCATAGTACATTTATACTTAACCATGAATAATAATACCTCAACATAAATTAAAGACTGCCACTCAATATATTTAAATATATAAAAAAATAAAAAAAATCATAATTTTTTTATTAAAAAATCAAGTGATATAATCATTTTGATTTAATCATTGCCAACCCTGTCAAATTGTAACTAGAGCTTTCCCATCTGTTTTTGAACCCTGACATTCCTGCTAGACAAAATACCTCCTTTCTTGTTGACAAAAAAGAGTGATTGGGTCATATAATATTCTAAATCAGTTATTCTCAAAGTGGGTGGTACTGCCCTCCTGGGAGTGGTGGAAAGATCTGGGAGGACCGCAAGGAAGAAGGGAGTGGTAGGGGGGCAGCAGTCTGAAGTCAGAAGTAGGGGGGAGCAGTCCGAAGTTTGAATGATTAACACTTGTACACAACATGTGTGGCTCATGGCTCCCAGCGGTGGATTTTCTACCCAGATCCCAGATTAACCTCTCCTGGGTTTCTGGTGCTGAAACAGTTAAAACTGCTAAAAAATATATTGGTTTACTAAATTGGGTTTTATTTGTCAAATATCGTGCACATTTGTGTTTAATATTTCTTTTTTCAAATTGCAGCTTACCAAATATTTTACAAAAGTTTGGGAACTGCTGTTCTAAATGTATTGAAAATTTTTCATGTATGAGCCTCAAGATTTCATTAACAAGTAGGAAAATGACAACCTTAATTTCAAATGCAAAAACCTAGCAATGCTAAGTAACCATATATGGGATGTAACAAGTTTATGCCTGTTTTTGGTTTGAGCACATTGGCAGGACTTCTCCAAAGCAGTCACCATAATGCGGGTATAGTCAAATGGGGTAAGACAGGATCGCAGCCTTCATGGGGTAAGAAAGGACCGGCCCATGGCGTGCATTCTAACTGCACTGAATTTAATTTGATGAAAGAATATGTTAGAGCAATCATTGCCTGTCATTTCAGTGCTTGTTTCAACCCTCTTCTGCAAATAATGAATTTTTGGTTAATTTTTAAAGAAAATCTATGTAAAGAAGGGTCACAAAATAGTTAACCCTATTTGGGAAATAAACTCTGTCTGATTACAAAAAATTTTTTGACCAGGTTTGTGGATGTAGGCAGGTAACCTTAAGTAATAAGCAACTTTTTAGACATACTAGGCATTCCTACCTGCTACCATCACTGCCTGACATCTATTCTAAAATGGGGTAAAAAAGGACCGGACATGGGGTAAGACAGGACCACTACATGATCCTGTTTTACCCCACAAGTGGTCCTCTCTTACCCCATAGTTTATCAAAAGTAGCTTTTAAATGAATATATTATTGTGCATAGGTAAACATGGAGTATTTTGGTCAAAATTTTTATCTTTTGCTCATAATAACCATTCTAACTAGTTAGCTTTTTTAATTAGAGAAATTTAGCTTACTATTGGAAATTGTATCAAAGGGATGGAGAAAATAGGGATGTCTCTTCCCATTAGTGAGCTGCAGAACTAATGTGTAAGAGTGGTTGGGGGAAAAATCATTGTGTGAAAAATAAAAAATAATTAATATCACAGCTTTGTGAGAGAGCATGGGCTAGGTATGTTTGGAGAAGTGCACCACACTGGACCCTGGCCTCTCAACCTGGACCCTGGTCTCTCAACCTGGACCTTGGCCTCTCAACCTGGACCTTGGCCTCTTAATCTTGACTCTGGTTGGCCTCTCAGTCAGGACCCTGGTCTCTCAACCTGTACTGCAGCCTCTCAACCTGGACCCTGGCCTCTCAACCTGGACCCTGGCCTCTCAACCTGGACCCTGGCCTCTCAACCTGGACTCTGGCCTCTTAACCTGGACCCTGGCCTCTTAACCTGGACCCTGGCCTCTCAACCTGGACCCTGGCCTCTCAACCTGGACTCAGGCCTCTCAACCTGGACTCAGGCCTATCAGCCGTAACACTGGCCTCTCAACCTGGACACTGGCCTCTCTGCCTAGACATTGGCCTCACAACCATGGTATTCGCGTCTTTGGCCCAACATCCTTGATGTTTTCCCAACATCAAGGATGTTGGAAAAACACACATTTGCTTTGAAATCTCAATCTCAAATAAGGCATTTTTTGCTAAAATACTAGAGTTTATTGGAAGTTTCTTGGCCAGACTTCTTAAGCCTATTGTTGCTAGCAAAAGTAACGTATAAAATGATAATTAACTATGCCAGCTACATAATATCATCCATATTTTGTTCTCAGAAAACTAAATGGATCATACCATCGCGTTTAATGTTAGGATCTTGTAAGACCAAGTGGACTGAAATGTTGCCTTACAATTTTTCAATATACAATTTTCAATGTTTATAGGTACTCATCTATACACTACTTAGTGACTGGAATCACTAGAAATTATACCAAAAAAATGTTATGCACTTAAAAAAATTTGGTCATTAAAGAGTTAACAGTTTTCTCGTGACAAAAACTCCAATGTGACTGATAAATATCAATAGAGTTGACATCCTGCAATACAAAACAGTAACAAGTGGTTGTGTAATCAAATAATGTGTTTCTAGATTGATAATATTGAATATCAGGTTTGTACTTTTGTTAAAAACCTTGTAACACAAGAATTACCTGTTGGTCCTGTCTTACCCCAGCCCCAGTCCCATCTTACCCCAGTGGGGTAAGATGGGACCAGCTCACTTTTTTTAATCCATACAGAAAACTATGTTAGATGCAGAAAGTCTGAGTTGTAGCTTAGAAGCCCATTGCATAACTACACCTTGTGATAGGTTTAGGGTTTTTTATTTATTCATGGTATAGATGCTACATGCTTGTTAGTTATTTCGGTCCTGTCTTACCCCATCTGACTACCCTTTTTTGACCCTCATTTTAATTACCATATATGGTAACTTGCCTGCAAAAAGATTTAATGAAAGTACGGTAGTATAGAATTCATCATTTTATGAATATAAAAATAAGGAACTCATGCAGCACTTTATGTAGATTTTAGAAATACTGGGCATCTATAGAGCAGATATCTATACTATATGAAACATATAAATGGTATTATAAGGTTAAGGGGAGTGTCTGGTGCAAAAATCAACAATTTCGGCTTCTCCTGTTTTTATGCCCGTCTTAAAGCTCATATTCTGATCTATCCAATGGTGCCAAAACCATCTCTGTACATTGATTTGTGTGCTCATGACAAATCACAAAAGGGTTAAGTGTTGTGAAGCTCATAAACATTTTCTTACGGGGTAAATTAGCGGCCAGGCACATAAGAGTAACGTCTGTGGATGGTGCACTTCAGTCACCCAGTAGCATGCCATGCAGGAAGATGCTCATGCAGTCATTCTCTGCATCTGTGAGTGAATTCGAGCTCAAATAACGCCTTGTCTGGTATCCTTGCTACCATAAAAGCCTATATATAGCGTGCCACATGTGCTCGTCGCTATGTCACACTCTCCTGAACATTTGCACTAGCTTTTTAGAAATTTCATTACAGTTTGTATTCTTTTTTGAAAAAAGATGAGAGAGCAGGGGGTGAAAATTGATAATTTTTTGATGAATTAACAAAAAATGTCCCTCTCCCCATCCACAAAATTTTGAATTTTGAAAAAAGCTACCACCAATTGACAGATGTGGTCCTTAGGCATCAAATGATATGCGTCTCATTCTTGTAGCTTGAAAATCCTAGTAGATAGTTTTCTACGGTCCCCCTTAATGGCCATTTTCTGATAGTGTCATGTTTTCTTTCATTTTTTCGAAAAATTGACATGGTTAAAAACAGTCTATTTTTAGCACATTTTCTCATTTATGGAAAAAATGCACTATTGTGCTCGCCATGTCCGTCTGTCTGCCTGTCTGTCCGTCCGTCCGTCCGTCCGTGACCTCAAGTTTTTGTCGACGAGAAAATGCGCTCTCTGTCACTCACTGCTGTGAGTACTGAGTTATATTTTTCTGTTTTATGTATGTTCACCAAGTTTTAAAGTGATCTGTCTGTACATAACCAAAATAAAATTTCCACAAGACGCTCCCCTTAATAGTATGTTCAGTTGACTTGTATCTATTCCAAATGGTTTTACATTTGTCAAAAAGGAACAAAAATTCAGGGCTGGATTGAGGTACAATCTGAGCAAAAGCATAGACCATTATATACTTAAGAAGAATAGAATGTTTTCATTCCATTCTCTATTTTTAATTTTTATTCTCTAAATCTAAGCTCCAATCAATTGACATTTTTAAGTTTTCAGTCAGTTCATTTCTTCTCAGGGGACTATATTTCATTGAGTGGCAATTACAATGGTATTTGTAGATAGCTATGAAGATTTTGAAAGAAGAGCTGAGCAGATTTATCTAGGAGCTCCAATGAAGGTGAGGTTTTTGTCTGCAATAATTTTATTTATCATTATATGCTCTTATAGCTTCTCTGAAAAAATGCTTATTTATTGATGGTTCCAATTCTGTATCAGTTTTTAATTATTTCATATAACTACAAATTTTAAATTCTAATGTGAATTTGATGTTCAACAAGGTTTGCCAAGTTTTATCTTGTCTTTACAAGATTGATATTTTCACATCATTTCTATTTAAAGTCACATACAAAAATCTCTTGCAATATTCTGCATGGTTTTCAATTCAGTGAGAAATGATATAAGGTATATATATTATTGAAACTAAGTACATAGTTGTCATTTGGTACCAAGTATGGTGCTGGATGTATGAGAACTTCTTGACTCTTGCTAATATCAGGATTTGTCATTGCTTCTTCTATACACGTATACTTAAATAAATAAATAAGCTCAGAAAATTGTTCATGATTGAAGCAATCTATGCTATGTCATCTGTGTTCATAACCTGTCAAAATTGTGTAAATACTTTTAAATTAAATGTATTGAATATGTTATAATAATGCTTAGATTATTCAAGATTATTCATCATCAACAGACCCGCTGTGTGCTGAAGTATGACCACAGTAAAGCATTGCTTATTGCCAAAGTTACGGATGATGTTGTGGTGAGTTTTTCTCGTCACTGCATGAGTATTACTCTAGTATTGCTTTTTAAAGTGGATAATTTCATTTGTGACTAAGAAAGTGTATTTACACTAGTATGCTTATTTATTCTTATTAATGTTAGCTTTTTCAACAATATAGAATAAAAATGAGTAACTGCAGTGCTCGTTAATGCAATAATTCATGTTGTGCCCATTAATTAATTAAATTGTAATCTGCAATAAGCAACTCGATGAAGAAAGCAACTAATATTGTGTTATTAGCAGAGGTGGGCAGTAGCGCGCTACATGTAGCGGCCGCTACATTTTCAGTAGCGGTAGCCGCGCTACATTTAAGCAATTGTAGCGGTAGCAGTAGCGCTCGCTACATATTTAAGTAGCGATACGAGGTTTTGCCGCCACAGCGCTACCGCTACATTTATATTAAAGTTTTTAGAATTTACTTAATAGTATTAAATATTATTTAAAAACCAGCATGATACTTACAAAATATAAATTACAGAATAAAAACTGTACGAAAGATTTCGGTGTAATGTTGTCAACCTCAGTCTGTTACTAGTGTCAGCATGTTAGTTGTTGCCAGAGATGGGCAGTGGCGCACTACATTTAAGCAATGGTAGCGGTAGCGCCCGCTACATTTAAGCCATTGTAGCGGTAGCGGCCGCTACATTTCAAAGTAGCGCTGCCCAGCTCTGGTTATAAGTATGATGCATTACCGTACCATTGTTCCCTTTTGATTAGTATGCCACGTGATTTTTATGTTTATTATATATTTGTTAAGTCTTAATTCAATATGGATTAGATTTATTCCTGCCTCAGTGCATTACAGTACTTATATAAGCTCTGAAAATATTGACCTATTTGCACCTTATAAAAAAATATATATTATAAAATATATATTACACCTTTTAAAAAATATATATTATTAAAATATATTTGTGCACCTTATTTCAGTGTTTGCAATATCGGACTGACAGCCACGAAGACTTGAGGAAGCTGGAGAAGCTGATGAGCAACATCATGCGACACATGGCGTCTGGAGAGAGATAGGCTTTCCTCAACCACATGACCACTTGCAATCACGTGTTTCATTTTCCTTTCGTTTTTTCTTAAGTCTTTTTGCTGGGATAACGCTGAATATTGATGGGTTGAATAACAACCTGAAGTCACCAAAAAATTGTACAAAATTATCTCTTGTTGACTTACTTGTCATAGTTTTTTTAATGTTGAGAGAAAGTGAACTTGAAAAATGTCTTCAGTATATTAATCCAAATAATTCCATTGAGCGCTAGCCGAGAACGGTTGTGTTCCTTGTAAATGGTTGTGTAATTATTCCTAGTAGATCAACGTAAGATATCCTGTGATGTGGTCAAGGCTGCCATTCTTAACCATTTAATGTTAACAGATCGCTTTGTGCACAATTAACGAGAGGCCTTTCATTTCACGTGTCACGTTATGATTGAATACTCAATCCTCAACATTTCTAGAATTTGTCCAGGTTGCGTGATGTACTTGCGTACTTCACTGGCTGAGGTTCCTGGTAAATAAATGACCTGTAGCCTGGAGCTAAAAAGTTCCAGAGTCTGCAGTAGTTTTGACGTTGATCCCATATCTAGATTTTTCTGACGTCTTTAGTTTAACAATCGTTTAATAATTCGATAATAAAGCTTAGTTTAATAATCGATTTGTCAGTCGCACTGTCACGACGTTGAATTTTTTTTATAAGCTACTTATGTCCGACAATATTTGCTGGCATCGTTCTTCTAAAGTGATCTCTATTTGAAATTTGGAGGAACCCTAAACCCATATTCTACTGACCAAACTCTACATGTGCGTAACAAGTTTCATTACGGTCCTTAGTGCGTTATCCTTCCGTTAAAGACACGAGGAAACGGTTGCTCGAGTCAGAAAATGTTTACTGTCATCCTTGTGAGATAGATTTTTTTCATCGCTGAATAAATTGAACTTTTAACCTGTTAGCCAACGAAACTTGATGGCAAAACTCTGGCTTCAATAACTTAATCGCCTCTCTTGCACTTTTCTGGTCATTAATATGCAGTAGTCATTGATTAAAATCTGTGTCGAAAGAAAGCCTTTTACCGTTTGCCGGCAGTTGATTGTACTGATCTACCCCTGACCTTGTATTCAGAGAAGCCTTTTGTTGTTTGGAAGCCTGCTCTTTTTATGCATGAGCGAGTACAGTTTACATAATATTTACTGCAAGAGGCAAAATATCGAAAACTTCATAGTTCGTTTAGTGTGATTAAATAATTTTTTAATTATCTTTGCGAAATATCGAAGCTTGATTCACTGGAACCGCTATAAGCAACGATAGAGAAGAATGATATGCGCTTCTATTTCTTTGAATCTACCTTACTAAAAACCAATAAGGAATGGTTAACAGACTTTTTAAGCACAGCAGAATTCGTAGCAGTGAGTTCGAGACCTCAACAAGCTGTGAATATTCTGCCATTTTAAGAATCTGCGATAGATCTACGGCATAATAAATGTTCCTTATAGGTGACACGTATATATATTATAGACTTCTGGTGACGAATGTTTCCCCTGAGGGACATGTTATAAAATATTTTTTGATGATGCAATGTAACTTGGAAAATGGTATATATATATATATATATATGGTACTATTTTATCGTTTAGGCAGGGTGGCCCAGTGTTTAAAGTTCTGAGTACCAAGATTGGCACAGAGTCGTGGGTTCGGTCCCAGCTCTGTGCTAAAGTTTCTTTCTGGTCAGAATCGGCAGAGGCCGGGCGGTTGAGCACAGCAGAATTGTAGCAGTGAGTTGCGAGTTCGAGACCGCAAAATGCTGCGAATGTTCTGCTATGGTCAGAATCGGCGACAGGCCTACGGCCTAATAAACGCTGAAGTCGCTATTACTATTATTGCATCGCAAATGACACGAAAACCATAGTTGATGATGAAAGCAATGAAATAAATTTTTTTTCAAGACTTTGTATTGCGGGCGGTATGGTTTAGATCATAGGTTGATAATGCATGAACATACCAAAAATAGAGGGAGGTGTTTATTTTTACTTGTACACTCGGTTCCCAACTTGGACTTTTGTTGTCAATTCTCATATTTTTTCAATTTTGAAAAATATGATTTTCTATGAAAAATGTATGTGTATTTTCATAAGGCTCTAAAAATATTCTGGCTAAAACTAGTTGAGGGTAAAATATAATTTATGGGGATTTAATTTATGTCACTTTGTTGTTCCGACTCGACCAGCTGGTCCTTTGGACTCGCTCGTAGTCTCTCACTGCGTAATATCAAATTCTTTCAGCGGTGTTTTTGCTTTTTGGTGTTTCTGTCAAAGTATGTTCTTATTGTTCAATGTAGTATAAGGAATTTAAATTTTGTCCTTTTTTCGTTAAGTTTGGGTAGTTTTTAGTAACAATTCACTTTTTCTTGTCTTGAAATTAGTTGACAATGAGGGTATGCCCGGGTGCGACTGTGCGGGTCTGTATAGTAGCCTAACATGCTTGCAAACAATGACCGAGAGTGATCGTTCAACGTTGACACAGAGTTCGACTGTTCGAGGGCTACTGCTTTTTGCAATTAAATGTTCAACATTACATCGCAGTTGCACTTGCAGTGATACATTTTAGATGCAGAACTACGCTTCAGATGTTTCCACAATTTTACTAAATTGTACTTATTGTAGTAGTACTGTCACGGTTTAACAGGCACAGAGTACCTAATAAGAATAACTAAATAAACTAATAACTTAATAAGGGACATTTTTGAGTTTTTTTGTAAATAACTTTCTACCATTGAATATTTAAAAAGCAAGTGTGGGCTCATTTTAAAGGTCCTTTCAAGGGCTATCATATAAAATCTTTAAAAAATTCTATATGCTAATCATACGTTGCCAGATGCAAATTAAAAGAGTGCCAAATTACTCCTATGAGTATGAACTGAACACTTGAAATGAAACTTAATTTAAATGTTTGAAGGGTATAACTTTAGATTAAGTGAATCCAAAAAAAGTGTTTTTTTTTTTTAATTATATGTTTTTTGGGGACTGGGGTGTAGATTAAGAATCTGAAATCCGTTTTTGGGCCTTTGGCTAGTATGGAATATATCTACTTGGCGAGCCGCGACTGAATTTTTCGAGCCGTGGTTTTATGGATTTGCCAGCCGTGATTCCATTTCTACGAGCCGTGATTCTATTTCACCGAGCNACATCCATGATAATGGAATCTTTGGCTTACACAGTTCATATGAGTAAAAACCATTTGCCATTGAGCTGCCCATCCAAGCCTGTAACTTGCGGAAAAAAAATAAATCTCGCATGTCATTTATAAGTCATTTATTAGTAAAATAAAATTGTATAAACAAATTTCCCATTGATTAATATTAAAGCGTGTGATCTGACTTGCAACATAATGATACTTGTATAAATTTTTCTAGTGAGTTGAATATCATCAATGGAATATGCGCGTGTTACAAACGTCTGGAAAAAATTTGAGACCGTAAATGCTGCCGGTCTCACTGTAAATATCTAAATTCAGTGAGCAATTAATATCTCCCAAAGTAATGACCGTAGCTCAATGAAACTTGTACACGTATTCATTAGGACCTAATTGTGATGTTTAGCACGTGAAAATTTTTTTAATTTCACCTTCATTCGTGAGTAATATGGCAATATGTGCAGAAATTTGCAGTGAACGAAACATTTTTAGCTCATTTTCTTATTTATGGAAAAAATGCCTTATTGTGCTCATCATATCTGTCTGTCCGTCTATCTGTCCATGACTTTATGTTTTTATCAACGAGAAAATGCGCTCTCACTCATTGCAGTGAGTACTGAGTTATATTTTTTCTAGCTACTGTACAAATTTTAACGGAACTTTTAATATCCAAACACATGCAACTTATTCATCAGGACCTAACAGTAATGTTAAAAAATTGTTAAGCTTGTAAAAACATTTTCCATTTCACCTTCATTCGTGAGTTATAAAGCAATTGTGGCCGAAATTTGCACTGACCAAGAAATTAATTCTGAACTACTGAACTGATTTGAACGAATCTTTGAATATACATTCCTACCTTGCAACATTTATGTTGAGCTTGTGACAATTTTTTTATTTTTCCTTCGTTTGCAAGTTATACGGCTATACGTACGTACCAGTATATGGCTTGTTGTCAATTTAAATTAAAAAATTGGCCTAAAAAATGCCGGTCGTTTCACCGTATATCCGTATAACTCGCGAACAAAAGCAAAATCGAAAATTTTTTCACTAACTGAGAGGTTAGGATTGTGTGTATTCAAAGTCTCATTAAAATCTATTCAGTAGTTTAGAAGAAATTTCTTGTTCACTGCAAATTTCGGCCGAAATTGCGATGTACCTCACGAATGAAGATAAATGGAAAAAACTTGAAAAGGAAGTTAAAACCCCAAAAATTGTCACGAGCCTAACATAACCATTGGAAGGTTAGGAATATATATTCAAAGTTTTGTTCGAATCTGTTCAGTAGTTTGAAAGAAATTTCTTGGTCACTGCAAATTTTGGCTCAAATTTCTGTATAACTCAGGAATGAAGGTGAAATGGTAAAAATTTTACAAGCTGAACATCACCGTTAGCCTAAAACAAAACAAAACAAAACAAGCGTTTGGTCTTATGAAGTTTCATCGAGCTCGCATTTCATTGCTTACAAACTTTCCGATGTACGTATTGTTAAAGTGCACGAGTATCATGAATACAGGCATCGTAATATATTACATGCAAGCTTACATATGTATACGTAGTGTTGAAGCGCACGCTTAACATGAATACAGGCCTTATGATATATATCATATATAGTCAGATGGGGTAAGACAGGACCAAAATCACTAACAAGCCTGTAGCATCTATACCATGAATAACTAAAAAACCCTAAACCTATTACAAGGTGTAGTTATGCAATGGGCTTCTAAGTTACAACTCAGACATTTTGCATCTAACATAGTTTTCTGTACAGATTAAAAAAAGTGAGCTGGTCCCATCTTACCCCATTGGGGTAAGATGGGACCAGGCTGGGGTAAGAAAGGACCAACTGGTAATTCTTATGTTACTAGGTATTTAATAAAAGCAAAAATCCAAAATTCAATATTATCCATCTAGAAACACATTATTTGATTAAACAACCACTTGTTACTCTTTTGTGTTGTGGGTAGTCAACTCTAATATCAGTCACATTGAAGTTTTTGTCATGAGCAAACTTTGTTAAGCATAGTAATAGTGGGTAGGCTTTGGTTCATTGTAGAGCACTGCTAAATGCTTCATGTATATGCTTCATGTAGTGTCATTGTCTGAAAAATTTATCAAATTGGCAATAAAACCAATGTATAATAACTTAAGTGTCAGATGTCATGTGTTTTCTTGCTAACTGTATTTGTGGTGCACTTCATCAAACATAGCTCATTACCTCTCACAGAGTTATGATCATAATTATTTTTCATGTTTCACACAATGATTTTTCCCCCAGCCGATCTTGCACATAGTTCTGCAGCTCACTTATGGGAAGAGACAACCCTATTTTCAATTCCCTTTGATGCAATTTAAAATAGTGCACTAAATTCCTTGAATTAAAAAAGCTAACAAGTTATAATGAAGTTTGAGCAAAAAACAAAAATTTTGACCAAAGTACTCCATGTACCTACTGCACAATAATATATTCATTTAAAAACTATTTTTTATAAACTGTAGGGTAATAGAGGACCATTTGTGGGGTAAGACAGGACCATTTGTGTGGTAAGATGGACTGCTTGTGGGGTAAAACAGGATCATTTAGTGGTCCTGTCTTACCCCATGTCTGGTCCTTTTTTACCCCATTTTAGAATACATGTCAGGCAGTGATGGTAGCAGGTAGGAATGCCTAGTATGTCTCAAAAGTTGCTTATTACTTAAGGTTACCTGCCTACATCCACAAACCTGGCCAAAAAAATTTTTGTCATTAGACAGAGCTAATTTCCCAAATAGGGTTAACTATTTTGTGACCCTTCTTTAGATAGGTTTTCTTTAAAAATTAGCCAGTAATTCATTATTTGCAGAAGAGGGTTGAAACAAACACTGAAATGACAGGCAATGATTGCTCTAACAAATTCTTCTGTCAAATTAAATTCAGTGCAATTAGAGTGCACACCATGGGCTGGTCCTTTCTTACCCCATGAAGGCTGCGATCCTGTCTTACCCCATTTGACTATATATACAGACTTTCAGATGTGCGTATTAAGTTGAAGTAAGTGAATTTCATGCACACAAACATCGTAATATTTTGCATACAAATTTTCAGATGTACGTAATCGGTTAAAATGCATGAGTATCATGCATAAAAACACCGCAATATATTGCACACCTACATGCTCTTACATGTCAAGGTTAAAATAAAAATACAACATGCAGAAAATTTCCTCAAGAAAGTTCGATTCTAGCTTCTAAGTGAAAAAAACACTGGTGTAATCTGTCCGATTATTTTTGCAAGCTTCAATACATATGATGGTTGCGTTGTCCCGGGGCTGAACATTTTACATCCGCCGCTCGTAATGCACTGTTGGGGTCCGGGTTTTAGTCAGTACCGCAGTCGTATCTTGTCGGGTCTCGCTAAGTCGCTTGTTGGCAGTCGTCATAAGTTTATTGTGGAAGAGTCCCATTAGTTGGCAGTCGTTGAAAAAGATAAATAAATGCGGATTGCGGAAGTTGAAAATTTTATGAAATGACATGTTTGCGAAGTGCAAACCGCGATTTTTTAATCAAACAAAAATTTATGACATTCGAGCCGCGAGATTTCATACCTACTGAAATTATATGATATTAGAGCCGTGATATTTCAGACAAAAATAGGACTTTTCCAGACTAGGTTTTTGGCAGTCGGCATGGGAAATTTTTAATGGAACCTGTTCCTAACTGGACCTAACCTGCAAGGTTTTTGTTGATCGGCTAGGTTTTTTCTATGTTTGGACTTTGGAGTCCGTCCGGCAGACGGAAAAACCTAGCCAATAGGTTTTTTCTGTTTGGAGTCCGTCCGGCGGCTGGAAAAACCAAGCCAATCAACAAAAACCTCAAAGGTTAGGTCCAGTTAGGAACAGGTTCCATTAAAAATTTCCAATGCTGACCGCCAAAAACGGATTTCAGATTCTTAATCTACAACCCAAAAAACATATAATTGAAAAAACACCCGTTTTTTGGACACACTTGATCAAAAGTATTACTGTTTGAAGCATGCAGTGAGCACTATGCAGACTGCCATTTTATTATGTCCCGTATTACCCTGGGGGAGTGTCCCTTATTACCCCATCGTATGGAAATGGCCATCATTTTGTTATGGGTTGAGGAACAAAAATTTCATCAATGTTGTAAAGCCAGCACCTGTCTGCATTTTTTTAAGTATCATTTTTTAATGTAGGTAGTGAATATTTTTTTTTCTATAGACCTTAGGAGTACTTTTGCAAAATAACACTCATAACATTTTTTCATTGATTTTTTAGAGCTAGAAAATTCATGATTTCTTAAATTCCTTTATGCTAGGTACATAGATAGGAAAAATTTTGGGAGCTAACAGACTTTATGAGCCTATTTTTAGTTTTACAATATTTTCATTAGTTTAACTTTCACAGTTCACTGCTATAAAATTTTCATGCCATGGCAGAGGACTCTACTGATTTACCCCTCTCAACTCTCAAGTATACAGTAATCTTCATATGTGAGTAACCTAATAAATGGTATAATGAATTCATTTCCAGTTAGTGTTTCTTTCTGCCCCAAAAGGAAATTTCACTTCCTTGATAGACATACTAAATTTTTGTACCTATGTGGAATTACCCTATGGAAGATGAGTGTGGATTTGGGTGATATATCTCTATTTTACCACAGAATTGGGTAATTAATAAATTCATTAGAGACTTGAAGGAGAAACCAAAGATTGCTTCTGTCCATAAACATGTGAAGATGACAAACCAGAGCAATATTGTCACAAGCCTACTTCCCTAAAAGGATATGTTGCTAGTGAGCGCAAAACAACTTGCATTGATGGTTGCTGGCTTGCTGCTGTGTACAACTTTGAAATGTTCTCAGTAGCTGAGAACCATCCTCAAGTTTCTGCAGTCAATAGTGTATGTATAATTTAAAATTAAAGTGAAACTTCACTAAAAGTCATGTTCCCAGAGAGTGACAGTCAGTGACCTGCAGCAGTAGAGGGTTAAATTGCAGCACTAGCATAGTAGATTAACCTGTTTATCATAATTATGTAATTGATACTTGCAAAATTGTAGTCAATCATGTATAAAAATAGCAGGCTTCCAAATAACAAAAGGCTTCTCTGCATACAAGGAGTATGTCAGTACTATCAATTACTGGCAAGTGGTTTAAAGCTTTTGACACAGATTTTAATCAATGACCAACCTATATAGATGGCCAGTGGCTCACCTTCTAACAGGTTAAAATTTAATTTTATTCTCCAATGAAAGAATCAATCTGACGAGGGTGAGAGCAAAACAGCATTTTCTGACTCTTTTCTGACTCATTTTTTCTGGTTGTGTTTCACTTTTAGTGATCATGTGATGTGATTCCTTCCAGTTTTGGTTCATTGTCAAAGTTTAGAAGTTGATTGAATATAATTGACTGACCAGGATAATTTTACTGTTACAAAGACAATGTTACATGAAATTGTTTCCTTGAACCTACCCCAGAAAGCACTGATCTATTTACTAGTGAAACTTGCCAAGTGCCTGTCAGCCTGGCAGCAATGGCATTTGGCTATGCGGAACTACTAGTACAAGTATTATTAATTTATTATCATTATTATTTGCCATTATAATTATATTAAATAATTGCCAATATTTATCACTTATTATATTATTTATATTTATTATTATCATTACTTATCTTTTATTATTATCATTTACTTATCATCTACTTAACATTTACCTATCATTTATCTATCATTCATTTATCATTTATTCATTCAGCATTCATTCATCATTCATTTACCATTAATTCATCATTCATTCATCATTACCAAGAATGAGTCTCCAGCTATAAATTTACAAACACCCAGCTTTCAGGCTTTGTAAGGATGATGAAACTGTTATTGGAATTCAAGCTTTGATTTCAATCTGTATCCATAATGCCCTATGTTTGTACTAACTTCATTTCAAAATTTTAAATTCAAGTGTTGCAAACTCTCCCTCTACTTGAAAATGAATGAAGTACATTACAGTCAAAACATTGAAAACTATAATAAAATGCCTCTCAAAACCTGAGGTTTGAATTTTTTATTTTTATAAAAAAGCCTAATTTTCTGAATGGAGAAAACAATAAGAAAATTGTCAATAAGAAATACTCTCTTGTCCTCAATGAAACCTGCATTAAAGGATAACTTCTGCCAAACTACACCAATGCATTAGTAACCATACACAGTTAAATTCCTGCCTCTGTGGCTGTAGGAATGTACCCTTACACCACAGACTTTTAAATATTTGTATTAGTGACAATGACTGAACAACCTTCAATTCTAGCAGGCTTGCTCTGCGCTACCATCATCACCAATTGAGATTGAGAAAGTATTGTGTGAGCTATGTGATCCATTTGTTCCAGAAAGCTCCATTGTGCAGAAAATTCTCCAAAATCCTACATTTCTTTGGATTCATCTACATCCTGAGTAGTAATTTTTTGTCGCTAATCTGTCACTAATCAAGCTTTGGAATATATATATATTAAATATCTTTATATAGGAGTTGATTTTGCTATGGTTGCTTTATTTAAAAGATAAGTGGAAATATTATTTTATTTTAAGAAACTGGTGACCTATTTAGCCATTTTCTTCCACAAGCCTTAGAATGCATGTAAATCTTTGCCATGTGTATAACTAAAGTGCAAAGTTATTGAGATTTTTTTTCTTTTTCTCTTAGATCATCCAAATGTAATGGTTTTATATTATTTTGACATCCTAACTTAGTGATTGATCCTGATCATTCCTGCTCTAAGATATATTCAAGCTGGTATAGTAAATACTGCAGTAATATTTACACAGACTCACATTCAGGCTTGAATTTGATCATTCTTCAAAACCTTGCTACAAGAATGGCTGGTTCAAGTAAAATAGAAAACTAAATCCTTTTATAAACCAGGCAAAATAAGGCAATTATATATTTAGGTAATAATATATATACTTCAGTATAAACACTGCCCACAAGAATGGGTGGTGCAGTGAGTGCCAGCAAGAGCAATGATGACATGGTCACCAAGCTCATCAATGCTCAGTACATCAAGACCCCATGCATTGAGCGAGCTTTCCGTGCTGTTGATCGAGGCAACTATGTCCTGAACAAGGAAGATGCCTACAGTGACAATGCTTGGTGGACTCAGAATCTGCATCTCTCAGCGCCTTGCATATATGCTCAGGTAAAAAAGTTCACTTGTTTCTTGACCACTTGCAAAATATTGATAATATACTTCTTTTCTCAACATTGACAATATATACTAATGTTTTTTTTTCTTAATATAGGTGAAGCAATGCGAGAAAAAAATTTATGTTGAGCAAAATTTTTGTTACTTCCTGAAATACCTATATTCGATTGCACTCTGAAATTCGAGCTGAATAAAGTTTATGAATGCTTAAGATTTAAATTGGCCTGTGAAATTAATAAAAGACTGGCTAACATACTTTTTGATAGTATTTTATTCCTCAGATTCATGAAAACTTCTGCAATTTCAACCCTATTTGGCAGACTTACAATTAATTTTGATTTCAATTACCCTAGACATACCTACATGTGCTACATAGTTGCTTGTTGTAGCTGCAGTAACTGGTACAAAATTCTCAGCATTGTTTTTAACAATTATGGGAACAGATGATTTTAATGTTGCTAATTGATTTTATATGTCAGTGTATTTTTTTCCTATTTACCTTCCATTGATACATAAATCGGATCATACTTGGTCAGGTGCTGGAAGGCTTATTGCTGGAGCCTGGTAAAAGTTTCCTCAACATTGGCTCTGGTACTGGCTACCTCTCTACAATGGTTGCTACAATAATAGGTGGGATACTTCTGAGGAATATTCAAGCCTTTATTGCTAAAAAAAAATCTAATTTATCTACTTGATACAGAATTACTTTTATTTTATTTTAAGCATTCAGTTATTTTTCTTGAAAGTTTATTGAATTTTAGTATCAAGTCCTGAGTAACTTACTACCTATGCAACACATGTAATCATTCTATGGAAATTTCAGGCAATGAAGGAAGCAACCATGGCGTGGAGCTGCGCCCTGATGTTATTCTCTACGCTCACGCTCGACTCAAAGCTTTCAAGAAATCTGGTTCATACGATCCTGACTTCTTTGCTGAACCAGTTTTTGTAGAGGGTGAGAGATGGTCTCATATTCTGAACTGCAATTTTGTTATTTGCACAGGTTTTATTACCTATATGTGGATTCTGTCTTGTGAATGTGTTTCTTGTTGCAGTTATGTTATTATACCATTTTAGCATTATATAAATTTTCCTGTATCTTAAGATGCGGTTTTTCTTCATAGATATCTGGATTTTAAAGAGTGTTTCTTATGGATAAAGACCATTTAATTAGTTAATATTTAAAGTCAATTTAAAATTTGTCTGCTCATCGATTTGTAAAGGTTCTGTTTATCCAGCACAGTGAATCTTATTCTTGATATCAGCATTCAATTATATTTAATGCATTTAGTAAGATTCAAAATTTGTTTCTTAATGATATTTTTCCTTTTTAAATTTCAGGCAACGCTTACAAGCTGATACCACCAGCGACCAAGTATGACAGGATATACTGTGGTGCATCGGTTGAGATCTCCTTCCTGGACAAACTCAGAGATGATTTCCTCAATGTGGGTCTCTACAAATCTAAACCAATCAGACTTTGTATGAATTTCATGCATGTCTAACAAGTTCTTGCTTTTTACAAAGGTTTATTACGAAAGGAACATATAATGATATTGAATCTGTATTTTGGCATGGATTTTAATGATATTAGTTATTTAAGAATACTAGCATTTAATGTGCACTCTAGAGGTCTGGTTGGGTTTAAAGCTCTGCATCACAGAGCTGCAAAGTCTGACTTCCCTGAGACTGGCCGGTGTAAAATCTGAGCTCGCGTTTTAGTTTGACAATCGGCAACCCACTGTCCCGTAATCACTTCAGCCACATATTCGTGGCTAACACGCCCCAAGCCTTAAGAATATTGTTCTTGAGACAAGGGGCAGCTTTCAGTTGGCCAGTGAATACCATAGCCAACGAGCGGCCGGTGCCTACATGCTCTGGCCGACCGCACTGTTCGGGGAGGGGGAGGGGCTGAAGAGGCACTTGGCAGGCCCCCTTGACATCTATGAGCTTTGCAGTTCTCTCATAAACCACTGGACATGCCTTGACTCCAACAATGTAGGATATTCGGAGCAGCAATCGTGCGTTAATCTACAGAATTTTCACTACCCGATAGATAAAAATTTCTCTTACCTACCATTAGGAGTCTGATTCAGAAATGCATGGCATGCCGATCAGTAGAGGATGTGTGGTAAAAATCACACACGTTACGAAAATATAATAAAAGTTGGGTGCTTCATGATTGATGGGGTGCAAAGTTTTCCTTCGTGATAAAAATTATACTAAAAAATGTACATTTATGTACATTTTGTACAAAAATGTACATTTATGTACATTTTAAAAAATTTATCTTGACAGTGATTTCTATAAAAATAGCTGGAATACCATTCCAAACTTCAGACGTCTATCTTATTTAGGAGAGAAGTGATCGGGCGCAGACATAGTGAAGAAAGCTCGAATTCGGTCACAGTCGCTGACCGCCGTAATGCATGCTCTTATTTACTGCTAACGTTTTAAGATTATTACAAACTAGCATTGCAATATTTAAAAGGGATGGTTGTTTGCATATGGTGGCAGGACTCGCCAGGATATTTAGACTGATTATGAGATTAGTACATGGACAATGCTGAGTATTTAAGCTTCACCAGTCCAACTTTCTATGTTGACAACTGTATTATAATTTGTACCAAAGTAGTGTTGATTCCGCCTGCAGATCGACAGAAATACACATTCTGACGACATCTAGTTGTGAACGCATTCATCATATATTTAAAGTGTTTATCATAATTGTATGTGCTATGGTGATGACAATAGTGTATGAAAGTCATACCTTGTCGATTAAATCGTTTTGAATAAGCTACTTTTAAGGGATTTATCATTTATAGTAGAGGAAACTTGATGGTCAAATAAACTGCAGATTGGAGGGGTGATGGTGGCGCCGGTCCAGAATGAGCTGCTGCAAGTCTACAAGGAAAGCAAAGACCGTGACATCGTCACCAGCCTCTTGGACGTCTCCTTCTCGGACCTCGTCAAACGAACAGCACCCAACCCCAAGAACCCTCACTCCATCCCCAACTCTGTCACCCTCCGTAAGTCTGCCCTCACTCCATCCCTTCTCTGTCACCCTCCGTAAGTCTGCCCTCACTCCATCCCCAACTCTGTCACCCTCCATAAGTCTGCCCCTGTCTCTTATACACATCTAGATGTGTATAAGAGACAGTCTATATNTCACTCTTTGCTTCTCTGTCACCCTCCGTAAGTCTGCCCTCACTCTTTGCTTCTCTGTCACCCTCCGTAAGTCTGCCCTCACTCTTTGCTTCTCTGTCACCCTCTGTAAGATTGAGCCGCATAAAATATACGAGTCTTAGTTCACATTAAATCTCTCATGTTACTCAGCTGGCTTGTAGTCTAGCTTCCAGCCAGTCCGCAGTCCTTGACGGAAGGATGGACGCTACCTTGTTGTAAATCCTTCACTCATAGCTTGAAAGTATCCTCTAGAGATAGCCACACAAATCTAGTTTCCTATTTATCTTGATTTACCAACTCATCTGCTATGGATTGTAGTGAATGTTTATCCAATAGAAACGCTCTTATTTGGTGTAATCAGAATGTTGAATATATTAGAATATTAAAATATATTAAATAAGAAGTACAATATTGAATATATTGGTATTAGAATATTAAAATATATTAAATAAGAAGTAGAATATTGAATATATAGTGCATAAAATTAGTTTAATGAGTTTTGATGTAACGTGTGCAGCGGTGCAGACAGTGCAGAGTTTGCAAGAGCAGTGCAGAGCTCGTATCATTCGCCTGGTCAAAGCCAAACTACTGGAAGAGAAGCGAACAAGAGGCGGCATCTTCGCCAGGGCGTTTTCTTCAGAGAATTGTCCTCCTGTGCCGACGCCGTATACTCTTCACCCTCCTAATCGTCTGGAGCCACACAACCTCGGTGGGAAGGAGCTTTCTTCTGACGTCCAGATGTCAGGACTTATGTCTCCTAATGCTCCTCCCATGCAACCTACCGAAGAAGTTCCAGAAAACGAAAACCAGATGCGTGCTAACGGTACCAGCACCCATAACCTTTTGAGAAGAAGTCAAATGGCCACCCCTTTTACTGATAATGACTCCAAAAGCCTCCAAGACTCAGTTGAAATTCCCAGTACTATGTCTTCAGAAAGGGTTGATGGTCCATCAAACAGGGCTAGGGTTTCTTCTACTAGAAGCATGTCTGATGTAGATCTGCTCTCATTTGGGTACCGTAGAGACGCGAAAGTTATCAGAGTTTGTGGCAAAACTCTTTTAGCATCTCATAGTTCTCCGGCCGTGAAGCGATGTGGACCTCCCATTCAAAAGCATCCGCCGTTCATGTTCGGTCGCTTCATTACGAACTTTAGCAACATCGACGAGTCAGATGTGGACGATGATGCAACTGTTGGAACTCGTTACCCGGTCGAAAATGACGATGCACATTCTTCATCGTCAGCGTCATCTTTAGAGGATTACGACTCTACTGACGAGGCTATTAAGAGGCATCGCAATATTAAAGCCTTTAATTCCTTGAGGAAGTCAACGGTCGCATCCTCGTCAGCATTGCCTGAGGCTTCACTCAGCTCGACTGGTGGAAGCACGTCTCACACACAGACCAGGCTTGAAGCAGCAACATCTAGTATGGAAACTGAAACTCATGAGGTCACTAATGGCGAATCAAACTGTAAAACCAATCCTAATCATGAGTCCGAACCAGGAGAGGACTCCACCATGACAAACAGTTCAAATTCAGAAGCCGTAAGATTTTTAATAGACGTTTGGGAAAATCCTCTAACTGATGATGCATCATCTGCGCTTCATTCGTCAAGGGACGGAAAAGACAAAAAACTTTCACCTGCTGCCGATGATACTGAAAGATCTGAGCGGTCTGGAAGCAACGAGGCCACGCCTGTTGAAATATTACCTGGAGCATCAGGAATTAACTATTCCAGTTTAGTTGTGAATAACGCGCATGAAAATGATATTGATGACCCAACAAATAGAGGGATTAGAAATGAAACGTCACTGCCTCGCGAGGCTTCAGAGAAACAACATGAGGAGCATTCAGGTTCTTGCAATGGCTCCATTGAGAAGACAACTTCTCGTTCCGATGACAATATTCCTTCCGACGACGACCAATCTTCTGACTCTATCAAGAGCACCGGGGACTCTTGTGCCCGGACGAAAGCTGTCAAGCGACAGTCAGTCGAGGATCCAATGGGAAGGTCTGGTCGATGCAAACGCGGCAATCGCCATAATTCCAGTCGGTCTCAAGGCCCCAGTGTTGCGGGTTCTACGATGCATGAAACGCAGAGTCACCAAAGCTCGGTCTTCAGAGCTTCTATTTACAGATGCGAACCGAACTCAACCGCCTCTCATGGCGCAAGGCGATTTCCAGTTAGTTTTAATTCATCTCCTGCAACAAATAGGCATGACAATAGTTCTTTATTACCTGGCTTTCTCATGGGGTTGAGAAGACTCGACACTAATAACGAGCGTGAACCCTCTAGATCCATCGCACCACGCACTCGCGCCCGGCAGCTGTCGGTGGCGCGAATTGCGTTGTTGGCGCGACTGCCATCGTCAGTGGAACCGCAAGCGAGGGATCGCAATCAGACTCTAGAGGATCAGCACGAAGAGGCGAGGAGGCCCCGAGTTCCTGATGACGGAGAAGAGATGGAAGTCGATGCGAGAGAGGGAGCTGACGCCGAAGAAGAGTTGACCGATGAAGAATCTGAAGACGATGCCAGTGATTTATCTGATTTTCCTTCTGTCGACGAATTCGAAGAGGAACGCTTTCTGTACACGAACAACAGCCTCGGCGGAGCGAGGTATTACGCTAGTGAGAAAAATTATGTCTCAAGTAGCGACGAAGAACCCGAGTATTTCCAGGATCATTTCCGCAAAGCAAGTAATGCTAATTGCACTGCCCCAGATATGCAGGCCCAACAACCGCCTCCTCGAGATCAAGCGCCCAAGAGAAGCAGAATGAGAACAGGACCTCACAGGCCTCCGCCGCTCTGGGTGCGGGGCACTGACGGCTTCGACTCGTACCTCGACTACCGTAATAGTCAACTTCCTTTTCCTCGACTACCGCGCGAATTTCGATTAGAAATTCGGATTTTAGATCGACTCCAAAGACTGCCTCTGCCGCCACCTATTCGGGACCACCTCCTGCTAGGAAACTGGACGTCCATACAACGAAAGGTTGCTCATGCTCAGGTGCCTATAGACGAAAGTGAGGAAATGGAGGTACTAATGGTATAATTTACAATTATTTGATAAAAATAGAAGTTTGTTAAATATTTTTTGTTAGTGTTGAATGCATTATTAAAAATTGATCGACCTGCATGATTAGATGCTTGATTTGAAAAACGCTATTGGAAAATTGCAAATTGTTTGCAAAATTTTCTATGAATAGCTTGTTGATTATGACCAGGTTATTGATTACACATAAATTGCTGAATTCATGATTGAATGCATGATTTTTCATCCATATTCATGAATAGTCTTGGAAAGAGTTAATTGCCTTTCTTCAACAGAATTTCGTAAAAGTGATTAGCTGATATACTACATGAATTTGCTGATAAAGAAGAAATATTTCCTCTTATCGTGGATATGTATTTAAATGGATCTTCCAAGACCGGATGATCACTAAGTAACCCACGTTTCAGGATGAAGTGCATTGTTTCTGGTAACAAATCTTGCTCCCAATATTAATATTAATAACAATAATCTTAACATCATTTGAAAGTCAACATCATTTGAGTCAACATCGCGCCCATGATGTTGGAGCAACGCGTTACACGAGTTATGTTCATCGCAAAACCTCAAACCTCGCGCAGAAATTGATCAATAACGTGGCACTGTAGTAGTTTTATTTTAAGATTTAATTTACGGAGATCACGTTCACGCGGGAAGTATTCATGCCAAAGGACTTGGTTCATATAGATGTCCAGCGCGATATCCGATGTACATTCTCCTGCTTTTTCTTTTTGATTCTTTATTTTAAATGTTCTTATGTGGATGAAGAGTTTGACTTTCCAAAAACAAGCCAAGCATGGGGAAAATGCTATTCAATCAAACTGCGCCAGTGATTGGGTAAAGAAATACCGCAGTAACATGAAAGAAATAATTACATGAAAGTATTATCGGTGCTCAAATGTAATAGAAAGCTAGACAAATGATTGAAGACGAACTAGAGAATTTTATTTTATAACACAATACGACCACAAATTTATTTTATACCACAAAACCTCAATTACGCATGGGTTATCGAGGTTCTCAGAGCCGCGGACAGCCTAATTTGGCTGTGCTGATCTTTCTAAATCTCGTTAGTGAACTATGTTGACTAATGTAATCATGTTGAATATTTGAATATTCACTTTTTGTGGGACCGGCGGTCCCGTCATCCTAATCATTATAATAATAAAAAAAATTTCGGTGTCAGCGTTTATTAGGCCAGGTACTCTGAACTGCAACCACTGCGCCAACCTGTGTTCGCTTCATGATGGCGCTGGCTATGTCGGCAGTGCAAAATGTCCAGCTATTGTGCTTTCTTAGCTATCAAAAGAAAAATCTTCATTATTTTCATATGATTTTATATACTTGATCGATTTGCTACAAGGTCATTATCGTGAGAAATCATTTATTTCATGTAATCATTTTTTATTTAATCTCAGCCGGCATTAGTTCACATTGGGGAGGAAGTTGGTCACTTATCGGATCTGTTTTCTAATGTTCACGGAAAAGTTTTGTTAGGTATTTTAATTTACGATTCATTGTAGTTTTTAAGAGTGGAGATTGGTTTCGTAATAACTAATTTGATTATCTTCTTTGTGTTATTTCGTGCATCGTCAAGAGACGGCAAGGAGTTGCGTGCTGAGACATGACTTGAATTTCTAGCAAATTTCTACAGATATGTAATCTTCATCACACCCGCGATCACGCTTCCCATCAAACTCCCACTTACTGTCGAGCTTGAAACAGAATGAGTTTGTGGTGAGGCGTAGATAACTTCTCAGGAAATATTTCATTTTTTGCTTTTGTACTATAGTTAAGTTAACTGTTCTATCTTTTTTATTTGGATATCTTGGCATGTCATCGGGACGCCCGTGACAGGCAGTATCTTTTGTAGAATATCAAGTGCTGGAATAACCTGTACCAGGTGTGAAAATTTGTTTTCCAACGTTCATGGCCATCGGGAAGAAATGAAATGTATTGTTTGCGGCAAAATATCAGCCGGCATTTTTGGCCTATTGGATCTAACATAATATAACAATAAAAATAACATTTAAACCTAATTAACGATAGACATGACTATCTTGTTTACTTTATTCGACTACACTAAAGATATTGTTCGTACTTCAGAGGTGATGTAGACAGCGTTGTTTGATAGGACTGTTACGGGAGCATTAGTAGGGGCACATTTTGATGCGACGGTAAATACTGTACATATTGAAGTTACGGTGTTACAACGAGTACTACACGTTTTCCTTTTAAACAGCATACATGGATTTTTCCGCGTTTATTGAAGGACTTGTTGTGTGAATTTGTTTAGAGACTTCCATCCATGTTTATCCCTGTTGAGAACATATTATTGGTGAAGTCTAAGCACTTATATCATCAGTCTGCTTATATCGCAAGTTCACTAGGAATTTAAAAGCAAAGGAAACGCCACGAATATGCGATAAACGATATGGTGAATTTTCTTGGCGTTTTCTTTGCTTTTAAATTCCTGGTGAAGTCTTATGTTGTTGCTATTGGTCTCGTGCCGCGTAGGGTTAACTTGAGAGGATGAATTCGTGAAGTGAAATACTGTTGTCTACAAGAGGATATCGCTGATTGAATTGATCAAATAAGGTAACCGAGTTGATAGTTCATCATCTCATCACTAATGAGCTACTTATGAAGCTAGGTTAGAAACTACCTATTCTCTGGCATTGATTATTATACAAATAAAATCCAATAGATCTCTTTATTGTAGTGGCATTCTATTGCTCCGTGTGTCTTTCAATTAGTTTCTAACTGATTATTATGTGTGTAAGTAAGTCCGAATTACTGAATCATGTGTGGTAGCAACACTAGCGACTTGTTTAGATGTCGTAACGCAAGAGTAATTGGTAAATTCCGGGAAATTATTAATTAACGAAGAGAGTAAATCTAGTGTGAAAAGCTGCTAATGATAACAATTGAGGGAATTTAACCTTCTAAGCACCCTTTATTTACCTCTATAAGCATATCTTATTTAACCCTCTAAACACCACATATTCAACCCTCTGAGCACACTTTTCAACGACCTTCACTTAACCATATAAAGACCCCTTATTTAACTTTATTGAAGGCTTAAATAACACATTGCAAGAGTGACTGAGTGTTGAATAAACTGACGGATAAGCGTCGACATGAGTGTTGAGTTTCACTCATATTGCTTATTAGGATTTTGAACATTTCTGATACTTGCCTAGATGTTCGATGGTATCTACCAAGACATTATCTACGGTCAAATATTTGTATTGCTAAGTATCAATATTTTTACTTTAAGCAACAATTATTATTGGAGGATTTGTTAAGGATGTACTGATTCAAAGTTGTTGTGAAGGTTTAAAGAAGGCTGTACTTATTGATCATTTACACATTGGTTCTGTGGCAACTAATTCATTATCAATTTTGGATGAGCAAGTTAATTTATTCGCTATTGGTAGCGGCTGAGGCTGCCATATTTTATTTCTTAGTCTCGCTCATGAAAATTTGTTCTGTTAGAGCAGGTTTTTATTTCTTCTGTGATGGCCAGCCTCTTATTTCACTTGTTCTATTCCTGACCCTTTTTTATTTTTGATCTCATGTCCTAGAATTTCATTTGTTCTTTATGACGTGTTTTTCGTGTTATTTTTATCCTCTTCACTAACTGTGTTTCCTAGACTTGTTCCTAGCTTTATCCTAGCCATAGTTTCTTTCCATTTGTTCTAAATTTGAACTTTGATATGCTGTTGGCCTGTCCTCCAATTTTGTATCTCTGACCTGTTACCCAATTTGTGTGTTGCCCGCGCGCGCCGCTCGTCTCTTGTCCTGAGGGACTTGGCGGTCCCAGGGGCGTCGTCCCTCTGTAATGTGGACGACGTCTCGTGTGGACGACGTCTCGTGTGGACGACGTCTCGTGCGGACGACGTCTCGAACAGGCGACGTTTCGTATTGGCTAGTGATGGATTTTCCGATTAAAGTATTTGGTTATTATCGAGCCGTGGCTCTTGGTAGATGTCGAAGGTGATCTGTCTTCGTTGCTGAGTAAACCTCTTGCCTCCTGCGCTTTTGAATTGAAATCATGCGCATGTGATCGTTGAAATGCTGCTTATTTGTTCTCTACGTAGTCTGTTCTGTGGTGGGTTTTGTATATTGTCTGTTTTTCATTTGTTATTTAGTAGTGTTAATTATGCTGGAAGCAATATTGTCCTGAGGGACTTATGCTGGAAGCAAAATAATTAATTAATTGGAAGCAAAAAATAATTAATTATGCTGGAAGCAAAATTAATTACAGTAGAACTCAACGAATTTTCAGCAGCAAAATTATGTAAAGATGATTTGTAATACATTTATGGTTATGTTGTGGATTTGACGTTGCTTCTCTGCTAGCAACTATGGGATTGCGATAACCTCAACTTACGTTAATCATTAACGCAATAATAATTGCATTAATCATGGCCTTTCTAGCGCGTGTCATGCTTAACTCTAATCATCATTACCCACGAGCCGCGTAGAAGCAAACTATCTATGTTACAGCAATTAGCGCTATTGGAATGTAGTCCTATAAATATAATCTTAACCATAACGGCAATCTTTTCCAAAATTTTCATTGTTTTCCCATCAGAAATGCAGTTGGCCACTCTTCTGGATGCCCACTCAATATTTGAGAATATGCGTATTGTGTTAATGTGTAAGTGATGTGCAGTCTTCAACGCAGGCATAATCCTTGCATACGGCGCTATTATGGCAATGTATATAAAGTATTGTTGCATTTGCAGCAAAGTTTCAAAAGGACTTTGTCAATATAACTAAATAAAACTTGTTAACCTGTTACCTGTTGAGCGGACACGACTTGTTTCTATGCCATTCATCCCGAGTTTTATATTTGTTATGATGAATCAGTGCTGAAATTACGAGCCTTTCCATCTCTTCCATTGATAGCTAATAATCGAGTTAGAAACCATTATGTTCCTGAAGTTTGCTTTTAGTTATCCGGATAATCAACTTCAGAAAATCCGTTTATTGAGGAGTGATTTGGGCTTACACGTTTTTTTTCGAACAGCAATGCGGTTTAATTTCTTCAATCAACGGCATAGTTATTTGTTCCACTTTCATCCTCTCCAAATGTACGTTTGATGCACTTGTTCACATCTGTCACGAGAATATATAGCATTATCACTGATATTTAGCGGGACCAGGACGAGTTACTGGTACCTTATACTAATAAAAAAGTATAATCATTAGTTATTTAATTCCTTCTTAAAGAGTTACACGAATCCAAAATCTTCGGTTCCTCTTGGCGAATAATTATGGTCAGTGGAGTTGTCCAGAATTCTTCATCAACATTTAATTGCATTGATCTTCACACTGTGATCATCGAGTTAATCATTCATGACTAGTGAGTAATTCATCTACACAATCAATATAATACAGTCGCCAATCGATGAATTGGCGACTGTAACGAGGCAAGTGATCACTACTACGCAGCGCCGACTGTCCAGAGAAAAACAAATGGAACTCTACAAAACTTCCATTAGCTTTGGCTGACACTTCGATTTTAGAGTCTGGTACAATAGTTAATACTTAGTTCATGTTAACTGGAAACTCGTGGCTGGAACTTCAACTTTTTTTAAGATTGGGCCTTGGTACTCAACCTAATCCTTCTTCTCTTTACTCCTTGAATAAATAGATAAGTTATAGATAAGTTACACAGCTCTAGACCTCTGGAAGAATCGTTGCCGAGCATCCAGCTTTCATTTCTTACTGTACATCTGATGCCGGCAACCTGATAGGGTAATGACACTTCAGGATAAATTGACTCTACTGAAGCTACACATCTAATAGAGAGGCAAGTCAGAGAATCTCGCTCGCGTAGACCACCTTTATTTTGCCCTTTGAATGTGCTTTGCTCAAAAGCTGTAGATCACAATTAGCTGTACGCAAGTAAACAATTAGATGGATGCAATATTGCACATGATATACGCAGAAAGAAACTTTTATTCTATGCAAGACTTAATTAAATATTCCAAATAATTTCAAGCTAATGCATGCACATCATATAAACTGACACGACTGGTCAAGCCACTGGTTGACCTGTTTCATCTCCTGAGAAGTTTTATTAAACATTAACAAAACCCTCGCAAGCTCCAGAATATAAAATACGATCAATTCAACACGACAATGAATTATCATCTCAAAAAACTTAAAATGTATTGAGGATTGACTCGGCAAGCGCAAAATACTTGCTACTTGCTGTTTAGAAGCCTTCACCGATAGTTCTCGCTTCACACAATCAGGTCTGGCTTCCTCTGTAAGCTCTTCAAGCAATAAGCCGCGCATAACTTTTAAGTGCTGAGCATTGCAACTTTTAGCGAAAAACTTTAAAAGCGGAATGCACACTTCCTCTCGTTAAAGGAATAAACGTTACATATATTCTAGTGAAAATCGAAATGTAGGCCTAGATTTTTCAATAGGTTGTGAGGAATTACAATGCATGGTGCCAGCTGCTAGTGCTCTCACAGAGGTGCTTCAAAGATAAAAAGATGGCCGAAAATAAAGACATTCCTTTACAAGAATTGAAAGTGTTATATCGTTGACGAACACTTACGCAAACGTGATTGAGTCAAACAGACTTGCACATCCTGAAGTGATAAAACATCGCGAGTGGAGCCATATCACAATTTCATCACACGCTTCGACTTTCATTTACTGAAAACTTTTAATTCGACCAATACATCATCCTGTTCATGATGTATTGGAACTGATAGGCTATAGCAAAACATATCTCGCAGGTGCCTCTTACCAAGCAACTGTTTTGCACAATTCTGGCCTCTCTTAGAACGTGCGGTCTACGCTCAGCAAAATGACTGGGATATTTTGTCCAAATGATGACATTCTTGCTGCACATATCGCTGATTCGCCTCCTTGATGAACTAAACTGGGTCAGAATAACCCACATAAAGGCAAACAGCGCATCGCTATTTAGACAAAGTCTCGCTCATTTCTCTGAATGCACGTTACACGATTTTCGGTTACCGAAGTCACTCGAAGCTCCATCACCCAACCTCATACGAGCAATATAATAAAGATGTAGATAGCTAAATAAGCTATACACGAGACACCACACTATATATAGGCTCTATATAGTTCGCTACCTTCGCTGCAGGATTAAGCTTATAGGGAATCCTAGATCTAAACAGTCGGGGATAATGGGAGTATATAGTTCTAGATAATTGTATGAGTAGAATATCAATAGGGAACCTGTACCATGCATCATATTCGCGATAAGACACAAAAAAAACGTGCGGATGTATTTTTTTTCGTGTTTGAAACATCCGTAAATTAGTGTAAATTAGTACCGGCTAGACAATGCAGAAATCAAATACTGCAATTAATAGTTTGATAGTTTCAACAATCCACAAAAAATTGTTAGAACAGAAAAATTACGCGTCTGGCACTCGATTTTTTTTGCTGTGAAATTACGATTTTTTGCGGTCGAAGCATGAATAGAGATAAGAACTTATTTTTAGCCAATGAAAAAGTTCGAAAAATACTGTCGATTTGAGATAAATTCTGCCATGACCTGTCTCGGTTAACGAGGCAAGTGAACCATAGTTTAAATGAAGTAGTTTACAATTATATATCGACAACTTGAATAGCCAAATAATTTAACGTTATCAGATATTTAGTAAGCATAATACAGGATTGATATCTATACAAGACTGATACTTTAAATACATTAATTCATCAAAAAACTGGAAATCGTAGGAATGGAACTAGAATTCTAATTTCATCCACTGGAATTCTAGTTCCATCCACTATAATTCTAGTTATCCTAGAGCTAAATAAAGTGTCACCTCATCACCGTAACCACTATTCGGGAATGTTCAGAAACCGCCGCATTCTAAAAACTGACATTACATAAAAAACGAAATGGTCTTCATCTTTATAAGAATTACATGCTATTATTCTTAAATCCACAGTATCTAAATAGCGATAAATTTCAATCTTTTCTATCGAAAAATTCGGTAAGCATTTAGTAAAGTGTTCTGAATATAAATACGAATGGAATGAAGCTTCGTGCATAACAGGACATACCATTTTGTGTTGACGAAGACATTGTAGTTGACAATACTCGTTCTAGCCATCACAAATAACTTGTAAATATAAATGGCCATCGCAGAGAGCGCAGGTTCCTTCACTATTTAGAAACTCAATTCATATTTGGAGCCGAAGACTAGAATTGAAACAAGAGGATTAATAAATCGGGAACACGAAGTAGCTGCTCTGACCTCAGGAAAAGCAATTGTGATGTATAAATTATAACTAATTATTATGCGAATGTGACAAGTTTAACAATACGGAGATCCTGTCATTTGCCAGACAACATAATTTTCAGAAGAAACATAAATAGCATTAATTACAGAGATGAAAAGGAAAAGCATGTAACTAAAAATAAACGAGTTAGTGTGGAAACATGCTGAGTAAGGGTAGACTAGTAAGGTTTAATGCCCAGTTAGTGATGAAACATGGCATATTCATGCCCTTATGCCACTCCAGGAATGCCTCATCACACCGCCTGGTTAGTGATGAATGTGGGGCCGAACATTGTCATATTCATCCCTCCAGGGATGCCGGGGTCGCTGGAGTGGCATGAGGGGACGATTGCCGGAGGTTGCTCTTTAGGGGACGATTGCCAGGGGTTGCTCATTAGGGGACGATTGCCGGGGGTTGCTCTTTAGGGGGCCATTGTTGTGGGTCTTTCTGTAGGGGGCGATGGCCGGGGTTTGCTCTTTAGGGGCGATTGCCGTCCCAACGAGAAATCCCCTGCTAACGGCCCCCAACGAGAAATCGGGACGATTGCCGGGGGTTGCTCTTTAGGGGACGATTGCCGGGGGTTGCTCTTTAGGGGACGATTGCCGGAGGTTTGCTCTTTAGGGGACGATTGCCTAAGGTTGGCTCTGTAAGGGGCGATTGCCGGGGGTTGCTCTTTAGAGGGCCATTTTTTGGGGTTTCTCTGTAGGGGGCGATTGTCGGGGGTGGCGCTGCATGTAAACTCGCTAGCCAGGAGAAAATAATTTAAACTGAACCTAATTGAGTTATTAATACATAGAATTTCCTAAGGTAAATGTCTCTGTATAAGCTGAAAAATTTCGCGACGACAAATTGAAGTAAATAGAATGTTAGTGACAGGCGAGTCCAGAGTGAAGAAAGTATACATTATTATACAGGTTGAGATAAATGAGACTTTTATACCTATAAATGCAGAAGAGGATCAACGTGTAGTATTAAATAAGAGTATATCTGCATATGGGATTGCACAGAGCGTCTTCTGGAGCCGAGATTAACGTAAGATGATGCTGTAGAAATAATCAGTTCTAAAAGATCATCCGGCGCATAGGATAAGTTCAAAAGAATAAACTCCTGATGTTCAGAAGGAGTTCATATAGGATGTTCTGATTATAGGATAAGATAAGGGGATCCTACAGCAAGGCAGCGGTGTCCTAGCAGATGCAACCTCCCCCTTCCTGGTCCTGGGGGGCGTCCTGGGGAGGGGGGTTAGGGCGCAGGTCCACGGCTGATGTAAAGGCTTAAGGAAATTACCAAGAAGTGAGAATATTAAAGTAATAAGATCCTGTGAAAATCCAGCGTATACTAGCGGGAGAAACACGTGAAAATGTTAAAGCACATGTATGATATGTGAAACATTTAAAATGAACATTAAATTCAATAGAACTTCTAGGAATTAAAATGTGGGGGAAAGGTGGCGTAATTTGACGAGAAAAAAAGGTGGTATGGTTTGACGAGGGGAAAGGTGGTGGAACTTGATGAGGGGAAAGGTGGTGTAGTTTGACGAGAGGAAAGGTGGTGTAATTTGACGAGGGGAAAGATGGCGCAATTTGACGAGAAAAAAGGTGGTATAGTTTGACGAGGGGAAAGGTGGTGTAACTTGATGAGGGGAAAGGTGGTATAGTTTGACGAGGGGAAAGGTGGTGTAACTTGATGAGGGGAAAGGTGGTGTACCTTGATGAGGGGAAAGGTGGTGTAACTTGATGAGGGAAAAGGTGGTGTAACTTGATGAGGGGAAAGGTGGTGTAACTTGACGAGGGGAAAGGTGGTGTACCTTGATGAGGGGAAAGGTGGTGTAACTTGATGAGGGGAAATGTGGTGTAATTTGATGAGGGGAAAGGTGGTGTAATTTGATGAGGGGAAAGGTGGTGTAACTTGATGAGGGGAGAGGTGGTGTAACTTGATGAGGGGAAAGGTGGTGTAACTTGATGAGGGGAAAGGTGGTGTAACTTGATGAAGGGAAAGGTGGTAAGATTTTGCCACAGTCGCCCTGTAGCAAGAATAAAAATAGAACGATCGGTTTCATAATTTACAAAAAAAGTATGACAAAATTGAAATAGACTTAATGATTTTTTTTGTTAATGAACGCAATATATTTATATATTGCCGATGTAATTTCGTTTTCATGATGTGGTTCGCATGAACGCACTGGACAAATATTATAGCTATATGCTATAATGTACTAATGATATAAAATCTAACAGCATAATTTATTCACATTACAGGTATATTTGATCGTGTTATTAGATTACCTATTTTAATTGATCACCCACATGATGGACGGAGAACCACATGTTAGACGACAAGCAACATGCACAACATAGAACGCTGACCAAACGAGTAGCACTCACACTAGCTAGCATGAATAAACATGTGCCCATCATCAATCCAACATGAACGCACATGTCGCGTAGTAATTAGGTTGTACTTGCGTGTACTCACCTAGTAATTAGGTTGTACTTGCGTGTACACGCGTAGTAATTAGGTTGTACTTGCGTGTACTGCGCATTATGCCTCCAACATGTACGAACATGGATGCTTAGTGCAGTCGTGAAGTACATGCACATCAACATGATAAGCTGCTAAAATCAAAGCACAAAACGCAAAAATCAATAATATAAAAATACAAGTGCATGTGCATGCTTCATAACGAAATTTATCTTTAATCTGTCCCAGGAACTCCATTGTTGTCAGCAAGCATACATATTTTTTTGAGGAATTAAGAATCGTAATTTCATGATTTAGCACAGCAAACAAGCCTGTGTCTTGATAACATAAGTATGAGTATAATGAGGCAATTGAAGCGTGCGTAGGCAGGTTGGTAGAGAGACGGTCGCTGACATAATGACTGCTATGTATGCAATCATCACTCATTATCATAACTTATTCTTAGTATATAGAGAACATGGCTCAGAAATATAAAGGGCAATTACACGAAGCCTTGTTTCAGAGCAGAAAGTAATACATTGTTCAGAGAAATGAACGTCGAGAGAGGATAATAAGTTGACTAATTTAACGAATGCAGTTTATTAGAGACTATATATAGACACCAGAATAACAGACGCGAAGCTCAGGTAAACGGGAACTGAAGTAAAGAAATAACGCAAGTAAATGAAGTAAAAGTAATAGCTCGCGTAACTCGACATGCATAATTCGGCAACCTGCATGTAGCAGTTTAATAACTAGTAATCAATAAGGGGGACTTCTTAGCAAAACTATCATGCCTTTAAAACACATCTGGGAACCGAATTACGACGTTCAAGAAACAAGTTAAAAACATAATCAATGATTTTAATTTTAACAGAAATCAAGTACAAATATTTTTCTTGCAAATCGACAAAATAAAAACAAAGTAAACTCATCGAAAAAAATTAGGCTCCACGATAAAATATTGGTAGCGAAATAATGTCAACCCTTGGTCTGTTCAGCATTGTTTAAAACCTGGCCATAAAAATGCATTCGCATGTAAACCGTAGCCTAAGTTCACATTTATGGTGCTATATTTAGGAGGATAAAATTACCATTAACCGCTGAATGCCTCATCGCAAGGCTAACAAGCACCGTAACTTCCATTAGACCAGGTCACTAGTTCGAAAACAATAAGAGAATATTTTACTGCGCTTCCATATACTAAAGCTTCCAAGTGATCAGTTGGCACAAGCAGAAGCAACTGGGCCGTTGCACATATGATTGTATAACGCTACTTTCTTAAACAAACAGTAACGCTACTATCTCATAAAAAATGCATGAACGTGACAAGCGCGCGCAAATAGAACTAAAATACACACTGAAAATTAAATATTTTTATCGCCGGCGTACATCAGCCCCAAATAAAGCGAACATAATTTTGAAAAGAGATACAAATCCAAAAATATGACCAGCATTAGAAACAAACTAACCGTGACGCAAACGCAACTGAAGTGTAGGCACGTACCAAGATGAAGGCATTTCAAGTGTTTGATGTTTATCAACGCAGCTGCGCAACGCTAACTTTCAACACCAACTAGTGAAATATGTTTCGAGAGATGCATCATGTGGCTGGTGGGAGTTGTTCGAGCCGCTTCCAAGGAATGTTTTTTTAAAAATGCTATATGCATGCCATTTAACATGCTCGGCATTTCATCTAATGCATTCAACATGCCAGACATGGCATGTTGCTACTCAACAGATGAACACTCACGGAATTCAACACGTGGCAAGCTCCAGGCAAATGGCCGTAGTTAAGCGTCGCAGGAAGCTAAAGTTTCGTAATTAAATTAAATTGATTTATCTCGATCATGTTCTTAACATGATACAAGCATGCCACTGCTAACCGTTACTACTAACAAATATTTCCTCAGAGAGAAAATATCGTTCAAAAAATAATTATAATGAATCAAGTGTGACAAAGGGAAGAAGTTGTAAAAATATACTGCAGATAATGAACAAGGTGTGGGCTGAATTGGTCTCGTAGAGAGTGGACACAAGATGTACCGAGTTGCGTCGCTGTCAGTTTGTTGAAACCGCAGCACTTATTCTACGGTACAATCAACAATCTAATGATGAAATAAACGTCTAACCTTATGTCACCATTATTCGTTCGAACGATCATTTTTACGATCAAACTAATATTTTTACGTAGTCTCATTAATGTGATGTCCAATACCTATGTAATTTGATACTTTTATCGTAGGACAATAGCATTTCAGCATTGTTTTCAAGCCATTGAAGGTATAGAAATAAACAATGAGCATATAGAATACGTTAGATATAGTAGATATTCCTCATTATTATATATAATAATTACGTACAGTTATTCCTCATTACCATATAGAATAAGTTAGTTACAGGTGATATCCTTCATTAGCATTGATAGCAAATTTGTAGTAACGCTTATAGAGAAACTAGCACAACCCGCGAAGACAAGACGTCGAGTTTAGTAGAACTAATCAGGTCAAAATTGTCCTGTGAGGAGGTCGATATGCGGGACAACAAATTCGTTATGTGATCCTACATTACAGGACATCACGATGAACAATCATTACGGCACCATTGTCATCATTTAGGAGGCTATAACCTTCTAATAATAGTCTCTTTATAGTGTTCACTGACCTACACACCCTGTCCTGCACTCACCGCAACACAGCATTTAAGGAACCTATACCATCAATACTTGCATGTTATTTGTTTATTTGAAGTACTATGTTATTCCTATGAAAGCGAAGGTTTTATTACATATAGACACATACTAGATATTAACAAGGAAAAGTGAGCACATTAAAGACCACGAGATTACCCTGAACATTATAAATTGGACAAAATAAACAAATATAGATGCACTAGCAGATAAAAAGCTACGAATGAGAAGACGTTCTAAGGAAAGTTGGGACAACGTAACTTGATTGGTCGTACATAAGCTCGTTACGAAAATTTAAGGAGATTTGCGAGTCTAAAGTATGCTCTCATGAAGGGACTATATTGTTTATATCATTACTCAATTTTCCACTCACAACACTGCAGGGATAGGACGTAGCAATGATACGGCCTTTTGCCGGGTTAAGCGAGGTGAAAATTACCCACAAAATAGTGAAGAATGCATCGCTAATTAGAAAATGACTCTCTCTTTTCTCTGAGCGTAGCTTTCACCATTAGAGGGACAATGGCCTAAGCAACCTACTGTACTAGACGGTTCATCAAGAAGCGCATTCTTCATCGCGTTTTCGTTCGTTGCAATGCAGTCCACGCAAGAGTCGGAGCTCTCAGGACACTCCGGCAATGTACTGAGACACTATAAACTTCGTTCGTTCGTCCATCAGTCCAATATTTCAGAAAATAACAGCGAGACTTGCAACGAAACCGGATTGCCATGCAGCGCCATTCCGAATCTGGCAGGACCCTGTAAGAGGTCCCACGAGACTGCAGATATAATCAGGGTCCCGATCACGATATCCAAACTGGGCCAAGCGAGCGCACAGCATCGCGCAAAAAACTACAAATGAAACTAATTTAACTATAAACTTTGGAACCAATACTCATATATTGTGAATGAGAGGATCGTCATGACCATGAGTCAACATGTGTAATCCAGGCTGAGGTGATAGCATCCACCAACAGTAGTGCAGTCATCCAGACTCTGAACGTGGCGTCCATTACCGGCCGTCGTGACGCCACTAAGCGGCCGTCGCCACCACGGTCACGTCATCAGCAGGCGCAGTTGCCGTCGGCCGTACGGCCGAGGTCCGTGGCGTTGTCGGTGTCCCGGAGGACGACCTCCGTCACTGTTGTCACCAGCGTTAAGGAAAACTCCGGCCAGGCCACGGGGACGACGCCCCAACCACATGAAGAAATGAACGCACCGCGACACCCAACTCCATGGATCCAGAAAAACTATACGTGCAATGGCCTTAAGAGGCCTAGGAAACATTTTTAAAGGCCCAGAGTACCCAGAATAATTAAAAAAAACAGAGGAAATGAAGTAGCATAAGCAAGAAAACCGAATAAAAAATTACAATACCTCAGGATGTAAGTGAAATTCCTTATATACGAGAGAATTAACTCCTGCTGGAATGAGTCATGAAACCATGAATAACCCGAGATAAAGACGCTAATAACATTCACAAGGTGAGGAAGCATGAGTCATGATAGAACAGATTCCTCAAGAAGGCCTCTTGGTGTTTTCCCATCAATGGCCCCGAGTGATTGATGGGAAGATTCACTCGAGATGAAGTTGTTTTGAGACACCGAAAAAACCCTATTGCGATTACAACAGACATGTTTACTTCGGTGAAACCGACCTTTTAAATACGATAATACCGCCAGGAACACACTGGCGTATTGCACGATGATAGGGATCATTGAATACAGCAATAATCAACTGGTTCGACAGAATGAGCCAGCCTCAGCAGGATGCTTCTATAGTAAACCGAAGCCCACCACCACCAGTTCAAACGTTTGGGGCTGAGCCAATAACAATCTAATATCAACACAATAGCATTACACAAGCCAAGTTTTAAAGCCGTTAGTAAAAACATTCACACTCAAGAGTTTCCCATAATAGTGTAGAATACTATAGAATACAATTCAAAGTTATCAGAAGTGTCCAATGAAGAAAATCATGATCAAATGATACGTGTGTGAAAACTTACCTACAGCCAGGAGATAGCGTACTGAATACAATGTGACTGGCGATCCAATCCAACAAATTATATAAAAGCAAGAAAATCGCCATAATTAGATAACCGCAATTCGATTTACAGAGATAAGTTCATACCACTAAGCAGATATGAATTTTATTCTTAAATGACCGAAATGAAGGTACATCATAGCAATAATTTTTATCCATTTCTTTTGATAGGTACCGGTATAACTTGCACACGCGCCGTTCAGAAATAAGTTAACGCATAGATGTGATCAGTGCATTTTGCAGTGAAGAAAAGCTTTCAGCCATGACACTTTGCTCAGTGTTGGATTTGAAAAGCAACTCATTTTACTATCAAGCAAACGTCCTCGCGTGCAGATCTGCTTCTTACTTTCATATATTTGCCTATCTTAGAACAAAAATCGGAATCGTGCGTATGAAAAGTGAAATGTCTGTTCTATGCAGTCTGCTTATAAGCATCCCACAATCCGCAGGGAAAATTTCAATAGTATGATTTTGGTCGTTGTAAGGTCAAGTGAAAGATTATCGATGCAGTTACTGCAGAATTATGTAATTTGTCGAAGAATTGTACACATCAGTCTGAAAATGGTACACGTCTGTCAAAAAATTTGGCGCGTTTGACGGAGAATTTGGCGCGTTTGTCGGAGAATTGGACGTGTTGTCGGAGAATTGGGCGAGTTTGTCGAGGATTGGGCGCGTTTGTCGAAAAATTGGGCGCGTTTGTCGAAGAATTGGGCGCGTTTGTCGGAGAATTGGGCGTTTTTGTCAGAGAATTGGGCATTTTTGTCGGAGAATCGGGCGCGTTTGTCGGATAATTGGGCATTTTTGTCGGAGAATTGGGCATTTTTGTCGGAGAATTGGGCGCGTTTGTAGGAGAATTGCGCGTTTTTGTCGAAGAATTGGGCGCGTTTGACGAAAAAATGTGCGCGTTTGTCGGATAGACTTCAGACATGTCCATTAGCTGTTGATATGTAATGGCTTATCACCAAATCGTGATCGAAAAACGGTACGCAAATCGTCACTCATGCCGGATAAACTTGAGTTATTAAAACAAATGGAATGCATGCCGCATCGAGTAATTATAGAGTCAGCTAAAGTATCAATTATTGCCGCATCAATAACTATACATAATAAATATCAAATTAACAACACTAAGTATCAATGCCGTCTTAATAGCTCATGTCAGATCCTGTAGCGATATTGACGATAAGTCACATAGTACAGTCGTACGACAAAGCCATAACACATACAGACTGTACAGATAAGCAATAACAGCTGTACACACAAGCAATACAAGGGGAGAAAATAATAAAAAACAGAACGCCTGCTGAGTTGTGTACGTAGGGGGGGGCATGCGCGTGCAGTTGTGGAGTGACATGCTATTAATTAATGTGACATGCACATTGTGAATTAATTATTAGTTACCTACATCTTATTAATTATTGAGTAATAAAAATTATTGACGTACAGAACAAGACTTAGAGTCACCAAATATTATTATTGACTCTAATATTACAAGTAATATTAGAGTCACCAAATATACTTGGATTGGCTTAATTAATGAAAGCGCTGGAGGGCAGTCATCCCTTATTACTTCCGTCACATCCCTTATTACTTCCGTCACATCCCTTATTACTTCCGTCACATCCCTTATTACTTCCGTCACATCCGAATAAAGAAGGCAGTGTATAGGGAATATATCATAGGTTTAGTCGCGTTGCATCACCGCAATAAGGTACACTGCAGTATAGTACACTGAAATGAAGTACAATGTAATGACGTATTCTGTTATGGGGTACACTGCAATACAGCACGTTGAGATGGATTATGCTGCAATAAACTACCAGTACTCTGCAATGAACTTTACAATAATAAAGTACAGTAATAAAGTACACTGCAGTACTCACCACCATTGTGCCCGCAAGCTACAGGATCCAGGAAGATGAGAAACACAACACAAACATCGACGTTACAGCCGTCGCACATCGGCGATATTTATGTGAAATTCATACTATTGACTAGTTTTACACTAATATTTTAATACATCTTAATGTTCTTGTTATTGACTAGCAATACTAGTACTCTAACATATTAATATGTTTTTGTTGACACACTTAGCGTGAGCCCCACGTGTTTAAAAGCGAACTAAACAACATGTTTACGACTAGTTCTGAAGGTCAGGTACTTTATACAGGAAATATACTATATTGACTACATGTAACCTTTTACAGGAAATATATTACATTGACTAGGTACTTGTAACCTTTATACAGGAAATATTGACTAGGTACTTGTGACCTTTATACAGGAAATATTGACTAGGTACTAGTAACCTTTATACAGGAAATATATTACATTGACTACATGTAACCTTTATACAGGAAGTATTGACTAGGTACTAGTAACCTTTATGCAGGAAATATACTGCATTGACTACATGTAACGTTGGTTCACCGACAGTCATGGCACCGCCGAGTGCGGTCCACAATGAATATATTTCGGGAACGAAAAGTTCGGTACGTGAACTAAGGCGAAGAACAGATGGGTTCTTGAACCAAAGTTGTGCAGTAGATGATGATAGAATTGAAGATAAGTATCAGAATGAGAGGTATGGGGAGGAATGATTCTATATGTCGAAAATGATGGCTGATGATAAGCGTGATGGGTGATAAAGTGTAAATGAAAGAGAAATCGATTTTACCAGAAAATATTCAAATCACTATGAGAGGATATAGAGGTGACAAGGAGGCATTCAAGTCATAATAGAGAGATGTAGGTATCAAGATAATAATAATAATAATGAAGACAGCACGGCAATAATGAAGTAAGCAATAAAGGATACTGTCGATCTTCTTATTCTCTGGCGACTCCATGCCTGGTAGAGCGGCGGCCACTCGCCTGAATAACTGCTGTGTGTTGTGTGTCGCACAGTGATGTGTGTGTTGTGTGTCGCACAGTGATGTGTGTGTTGTGTGTCGCACAGTAGCCTCCTCTGCACTCCCATATCAAGGCGCACCGTGCCACACCAATACAATATTTCGCACGCAACCTTCCTTCACAATTGGCTATCCAGAAATTTCAATAAATCTATACAAAAACGAACCATATTTAAAGTAAAAATATCCAATGCGCTGTTTTCTCAAAAAAAATCATCTTTTGCCTTTTTTGTATATAGTTTCCGAAACTAGGGCCGGAACGTAGCATTAGCAGCGCTTAGCGCTAGCACAACACCGCTTAGCGCTAGCACAACACCTGCTCGACGTTGTAGCCAGCCTTAGCGTTAGCACAACACCTGCTTGACGTTGTAGCCCGCCTTAGCGCTGGTCTCGATGAACATGACGTTGAGTTCCTTCGCTTTGCGCTCCCCCTCCTCCGTGGACACCTGGGGGCAGGGGGAGCAGGTTATGAGGGGAGCAGGTTATGAGGGGAGCCGGTTATGAGGGGAGCAGGTTATGAGGGGAGCAGGTTATGAGGGGAGCAGGTTATGAGGGGAGCAGGTTATGAGGGGAGCAGGTTATGAGGGGAGCAGGTTATGAGGGGAGCAGGTTATGAGGGGAGCAGGTTATGAGGGGAGCAGGTTATGAGGGGAGCAGGTTATGAGGGGAGCAGGTTATGAGGGGAGCAGGTTATGAGGGGAGCAGGTTATGAGGGGAGCAGGTTATGAGGGGAGCAGGTTATGAGGGGAGCAGGTTATGAGGGGAGCAGGTTATGAGGGGAGCAGGTTATGAGGGGAGCAGGTTATGAGGGGAGCAGGTTATGAGGGGAGCAGGTTATGAGGGGAGCAGGTTATGAGGGGAGCAGGTTATGAGGGGAGCAGGTTATGAGGGGAGCAGGTTATGAGGGGAGCAGGTTATGAGGGGAGCAGGTTATGAGGGGAGCAGGTTATGAGGGGAGCAGGTTATGAGGGGAGCAGGTTATGAGGGGAGCAGGTTATGAGGGGAGCAGGTTATGAGGGGAGCAGGTTATGAGGGGAGCAGGTTATGAGGGGAGCAGGTTATGAGGGGAGCAGGTTATGAGGGGAGCAGGTTATGAGGGGAGCAGGTTATGAGGGGAGCAGGTTATGAGGGGAGCAGGTTATGAGGGGAGCAGGTTATGAGGGGAGCAGGTTATGAGGGGAGCAGGTTATGAGGGGAGCAGGTTATGAGGGGAGCAGGTTATGAGGGGAGCAGGTTATGAGGGGAGCAGGTTATGAGGGGAGCAGGTTATGAGGGGAGCAGGTTATGAGGGGAGCAGGTTATGAGGGGAGCAGGTTATGAGGGGAGCAGGTTATGAGGGGAGCAGGTTATGAGGGGAGCAGGTTATGAGGGGAGCAGGTTATGAGGGGAGCAGGTTATGAGGGGAGCAGGTTATGAGGGGAGCAGGTTATGAGGGGAGCAGGTTATGAGGGGAGCAGGTTATGAGGGGAGCAGGTTATGAGGGGAGCAGGTTATGAGGGGAGCAGGTTATGAGGGGAGCAGGTTATGAGGGGAGCAGGTTATGAGGGGAGCAGGTTATGAGGGGAGCAGGTTATGAGGGGAGCAGGTTATGAGGGGAGCAGGTTATGAGGGGAGCAGGTTATGAGGGGAGCAGGTTATGAGGGGAGCAGGTTATGAGGGGAGCAGGTTATGAGGGGAGCAGGTTATGAGGGGAGCAGGTTATGAGGGGAGCAGGTTATGAGGGGAGCAGGTTATGAGGGGAGCAGGTTATGAGGGGAGCAGGTTATGAGGGGAGCAGGTTATGAGGGGAGCAGGTTATGAGGGGAGCAGGTTATGAGGGGAGCAGGTTATGAGGGGAGCAGGTTATGAGGGGAGCAGGTTATGAGGGGAGCAGGTTATGAGGGGAGCAGGTTATGAGGGGAGCAGGTTATGAGGGGAGCAGGTTATGAGGGGAGCAGGTTATGAGGGGAGCAGGTTATGAGGGGAGCAGGTTATGAGGGGAGCAGGTTATGAGGGGAGCAGGTTATGAGGGGAGCAGGTTATGAGGGGAGCAGGTTATGAGGGGAGCAGGTTATGAGGGGAGCAGGTTATGAGGGGAGCAGGTTATGAGGGGAGCAGGTTATGAGGGGAGCAGGTTATGAGGGGAGCAGGTTATGAGGGGAGCAGGTTATGAGGGGAGCAGGTTATGAGGGGAGCAGGTTATGAGGGGAGCAGGTTATGAGGGGAGCAGGTTATGAGGGGAGCAGGTTATGAGGGGAGCAGGTTATGAGGGGAGCAGGTTANGAGGTAGTGCAATCAGTTAGGAGGTAGTGCAATCAGTTAGGAGGTAGTGCAATCAGTTAGGAGGTAGTACAATCAGTTAGGAGGTAGTACAATCAGTTAGGAGGTAGTGCAATGAGTTAGGCGGTAGTGCAATCAGTTAGGAGGTAGTGCAATCAGTTAGGAGGTAGTGCAATCAGTTTTGTGTTGTGCATGGCGATTGACGATACAAAAAATACCACAAAATAATACTGCGAGGACATATGAAATGTATTGACATCAATACCGTAATATGCTGCACATGTACGTCAATATCACAATACGCACAAGTATATGCATCAATAAATCAATATGCACATATGAGCATACGATGTATAATTGTGCATAAATATGCACATGTTAGGTACCATGTACCATTGTGCATCAATACGCACATGTTAGGTACCATGTACCATTGTGCATCAATACGCACATGTTAGGTACCATGTACCATTGTGCATAAATATGCACATGTTAGGTACCATGTACCATTGTGCATCAATACGCACATGTTAGGTACCATGTACCATTGTGCATCAATACGCACATGTTAGGTACCATGTACCATTGTGCATCAATACGCACATGTTGGGTAACATTATATGTATGTAAAGCTTGCAGCAAAGTTCTCTCCATACCTGCGCTACGCACACATGCAGACATGCAACGCTATTTAACGAGGCCACTGCGTGTACATTACCCTCTGTAAGTGAACACTACACGTGCGTTTTCTGTGCTTTTAAATGGAATTCGTACATAAATTCAGATTTAAATTACGACGTTCATGTTCATCTTTCAGAGCACGAGAGGTGCACAAGGGTAACCATCCGCTAATTACTGCATGGATAAGATTCCGGTTACAAAAGATCAACCCAAAAATTAATAGTGAACTTCATTCACTGAACACGCGAGCTTAAATCCCAAGAAACTTTTAAAAGAAAACTTTTTACTAATAGGGAATGTTGCCAGTTTCGTGAATATGGAAAATATGTTTTTCGTTTGATGCCACGAATTACTAACTTTATACGAAAGCCTCGTCATTCTCAACTAGCAGTCTGCAGTAATAAGGAGATAATTAGAATACGTGAGCAGCTTTTCAATTACCATAACAAACCTTAAATGAAAGCAGCGATGATCAACTTGATGCAATGCTACGTAGACATTTAAAAGCGAGCTATTTTGTTTGCTTCGTTATAACGAATACGGCTATTTCGACCATGCACTGAGGATCTCGTACGAACAACGTACGGAAATCCGCAACCAGAAAATGAATCCCTGCAGGAAAACGTTAAATCCTCATGATTTCGATGAAAAAACGTTTAATCAATGTTATTTCAAAGTAAGATGTCTGTAAGGTGAACACCAAGGGTAGACGCTCAGTTAATCTTCTGAATATAATAAATTTTTGCGCTTTCATGTGAAAATAAACTTGCATGTCTCTAATAATGCTAGACGGATTCTTGTGCGGTGCGCACGCATGTTGGTATGCTTTCGTGTTACGGGTAACATTAATCGGATTAAATACTGCGTGTAAGTTATGATCAGGATACGCGTTGCAATGATCAGGATACGCGTTGCAGTGATCAGGATACGCGTAGCAGTGATCAGGATACGCGTTGCAGTGATCAGGATACGCGTAGCAGTGATCAAGATACGCGTTGCAGGGATCAGGATACGCGTTGCAGTGATCAGGATACGCGTAGCAGTGATCAGGATACGCGTTGCAGTGATCAGGATACGCGTTGCAGTGATCAGGATACGCGT